CGGGCTTCACAGGGTCCTTGCCTCCACGCGTCGCTTCCTCCCCTGATGGCTATCTTGCAACTGGATGCATTCGACCACATCATACTACCAAAACAAGGCGTGTGGCCCCTGGTGGCGTGAAGGATGATTGATAATGTGATGACCAGACCACATCATACCCACGAAAACAAGGCATGTGGCCCCTGATGCCGTGAAAGATGCTTGATAATGTGATGACGACGATAAACGACCGATCGAACGTAGCTTATAACCTCTGATTCATCAACTCACCCAAGTAATGGGTGTATCAATTCATCATCGTCCGAGCCATTCACTGACTGAAAAGAAGCAGAAGTATGCTGATCCAGCTACTCGCGAGAGCCATGCACTGATCTGACCGAAAAGAAGCAGAAGTATGGTTATCCAGCTACTCACGACAAATGAGCACCATTGTTCCATAACCATGGGTTGTTCCATGACTACCCCCTTAGGAGGATCTTTCCTTCACCACAAAGTTGGGTTGTTACACCTTATCAAGCCCAAGAATAAGCCTGCACGCTTCCCCGTGTAATCAACTAATCCAGTTTGGACACAGAAGGCCCACACAGGACGAGTGCTAACGGGCGCGCGGCGGATGCTGGGTGCCTTCTTTCCGCACACAAAACGCGCTGCTGTTATAGTTTGATGGAACGCGGAGCTGGATTAATGTGTTGATATTGGGGTGGCCACCTTCATAACTCGTATTGGGAGAACTGTGTCGCTATCGGCTGACAAGTGCAATGTTCGCTTTTTTTTCTGTTCAAGAGCAGGGACAACTTTTTTTTTTCCGAAAGTTCCACGAATCAATTTCATATAGTGCGTGCGATTAGCTCCACAGCTGGGTAGACTTATCAGATAATAATGCAGTCACTCCTTCTAATCCACCATATGTTGTTAATTACCTCATGAACTGCATTGATTGATTTGTCAAAGGTAGCCGTTTGGGGGTTTGAGAGGGCCAGGATTAAGATTTTGGTGTTAGGGGTTGGCGGTTGGGGTTAGGTTAGGGGGGGCAGGATGAAGATTTTGATTTTAGGGGTTGGGTTTGGGGGTTAGGTTAGGGGGAGCAGGGTGAAGATTTTGGTTTTAGGGGTTGGGTTTGGGGTTAGGCTAGGGGTTTGGGTTGGTTTATATTTGCGGCGAGAGTCGTAGGGGTTTTACCTTTGTGTATTGTGTGGTCGTCCCCCTTCTTGAGGAATGTGGAAGTGCTTCGAGGAGAGCTGGAGCCAGCTGTTTGAAGGTGAGCAAAGGCGCCAGGATGCAAGATTTTGGTTTTAGGGGTTGGGTTTGGGGCTAGGTTAGGGGGGCCAGAATGAAGATTTAGATTTTAGGGGTTGGGTCTGGGGGTTAGGCTAGGGGGACCAGGATGAAGGTTCGGTTTTAGGGGTTGGGTTTGGGGTTAGGTTGGGGGTTAGGGTGGGGTTTTGGCGTTTTGGGCCGTAGGAGTCTTTCTTTTCGTCCAAGCAAAACGCAGCGGTATCCAGGGCATTTTTGGGGTTACACACAGCGCCTAATTTGAGAGGACAGTAGGGCTTTGTCTCTTCATCTTGTTGCGCTTGACTTGTGAGGAGGTAAAGTGTCCTGAGGGCATCCATGAATCAACACTGATCTAGAACCTCTTAACAGCCTGCATCTGAACTTCATAATGTGAAACCGTACGGAATCTGAAGCTGAGTATAACCTGGAACCAGTTGGTTGTGGGCCCAATTGGCATCTGAAAACCAAGCACTGGCATCGCCTGAGCACAACACACCGTGGTCATATGCATCTAACCAGAAAGATGGCTTGTCTGCATATTGCATGATGCGAGTGTGATGTGTTCAGAGGAAGATGCTAGCTGTGGAGCCAGTCGTGGAATCAATTGGAATCCGAAATCAATTGCTGACCAGTTAGAATATCGGATCAAAGGAATGGATTAGAATCTGCGACCAGTGTGGAATCAAGTGGAATGTGTGTAATGAACCCAACACCGATCTCACAATATCAGTGCTTCTGGCCTTTCACGCTTTCATTCTTTGTTTCTGGGTTTTCTTTCCTTCCTTCTCCATTTTCTTTCTTTTTTTTCTTTTTAAAGAAGGTAAAGAGAGATTGATTGGAAATGAACCTGCAAGTTCTCATTTACAAAAAACTCGGAAGGAGCATGTTAATGAACAAAACATGGAAGTAGAGAAAGATCCTTCCTCAACCTCCCGCCATCGCTCATTGTGTCCAATCCTTTCGCGCATGTTTCTTCTAGTCCTCGTCCTCAATCACCTTGACTCCGAGATTCGAGAAACCCTCACGCCTAAGGTCAGCCGGAGTAATATAGGAGTAAAGCTCCTCCTTGGCGTCTTCAATGTCGTTCCTCTTGCGGGCGATCCGGATCTGGACCCAGCGCGGGACGTTCCTGATGCCTCTGCTCCATATGTGCTTGTTAAGTTCGACGTCGGGGGTTCCCATCATCTTCATTGCAAACTTACGAATCTCCTTGACGGCCTTGGGAGCCATCTTCTTGAAGGTGCAGCCATGGAGCCGCTTGTGGAGGCTGATCGTGTACTCCTGTGTACCAAAGTCCTTTGAGCGGATCTTGCTCGTCCACCATCTTGACCTAACCTGCTTTGCAATTGCGGTTGCGAGCTGGCTGGCTGACCACCTGAGGCAGACACAACCACAAGCCCTTCTCCCTTTTCTTTTTTCCTCTTTAAGGATCCTTTATTGCCTCTCTTTCTTAATTTGTTTCTTTCTCTGTTTTTTTGTTTCTTTGTTTCTCTGTAGGTTTCTTTGTTTCTTGCTTTCTTGCTTTCTTTTCTTGCTTTCTTGCTTTCTTTTCTTGCTCTCTTTCTTTGGTTCTTCTTGTCTTTTGCAGTGCTTCTCTTGAACATGAAACGGACTAGGATGATAACACTTGATGTTTGCTTCTCTTGGTTCGGCTGGCTGATGG